ACAGGACGTCCCCGAGCACAGCTCCCCCCCACAGGGAAACCAGCCCTTTCACCACTCAGTCACAATTGGGACCGAGCACCAGGTAACCCTCTGCCTCACAGCCAGGTTCGATCCAGCTCTCGCTGGCTGTGGGAGCAGCAGAGGATTAGGCAGGCCTGCCCACCTTCACCCAGACACCCCTGCCCACAGCGGCCAGGGAGGACACGGGGGTCCATCTCTGCAGGAGCCCCCTCCCCGTGGCCAGGCGCTGTGCTTGGTGCACAAAAGACTTCACAACTGTCAAACCTTCCTGGTTTCAGCCTTGAGGTCTCCCTTTTAAGCTTACAAGCCTGTTTGCCTGGTGTGCCTTCCAGCCTCTGACAAGGCCAAGCCTTGTCCCAAGCCCAGCGAGAACAGCCCTCCCAGGATCACTATGTCATTCTAACCAGCACCTGCGGTATTTTCTCAGACCTCTGAGCACAAAGCTTAGGTAGAACCATTTTTTAATAAGCACAGTAAAATTAAGAATTTAACCACAATGTATGACAAGAATTATAAGCTTTAAAAAATACAACCAATTTTTTTTTGTATTTCAAAAATATTTGAACCCAAATAAATAATTTTTTTTAAAAGTACATTTCTCAGACTAGTCATTTGGTGTTAACATCTGTTAAACTCTTGTGCAGTAACACTTACAGCACGACACTAAGACATGCTTCTTGGATTTCTCCTGGTCACACTCACTCTAACTACTGACGCAAGCATTCGGCACGCACAGGCACACACACGTAACTCAACATGCAGTAATAGGATACAGTGCTTTAAAATAGGATGAGAATTCATCACAGCCTCCTCGCAGCCCTCAGGGGCAGCTCTTGGCCCAGCCCCATCCCCGTGCTGGCAGCGAGGCAGCCAGCGGGACCGGGTACCCTGTTTCTGCCTTCCAGTTAAAATGCGTCTCGGGGACCGGCGTGCGGTGGGGCTGTGACCCCTCCGCTATCGGGGTACAGTCTGTTGCTCTGACGCTGTGCTACTGGGGCACCACGCGGAGCAGGCACTCTCCTTCAGCCTGGGCAGCTCGCTGAATTTCCCATTGCCCCATATGATTACCAGGGCCTTTTCAAAGCGCTGCTAAAGCCCCAGGTCCTGCCCAGCTCTCTGAGATGCTGACTCCACAGTGTGGGCTGTCACCTACCACCAGACCGGGGGGCTCAGGGCCCCCCACACTCAATGAAAACCAAAGAACTGGCCTGGGAAGATGGAGCCATCGGCTTTCACCCCTCAAGCGCCCCTCCCACCCTTTGCAAAGTGGTGAATATTGCTAGAGTATAGGCAGTACTTCCCTAGTCAAGGCAAGACAGCTTGGGAGCTGCTTAGAAGTGATTGCTACTGGATGAAGGTAAATCCGAGCACTATTCTCTGAGAAATGAAACCTGTGTAGGGTTAATATCACCTACTCCTATGGCTGACCCTCCTTGGGGTGGGAGCTGAAAGCGGCGGGCTAGTGTAGTGTAGAGCAGGAGCTGGCAGTCCGTCTCCGCGCAGGAGTAAGAAACAGGAGCCGGGCCCTCCCGGCTAGGCAGCGGACGGCCAGGGGAGACCTTTGCTCTGATGAATTCTCCGTCAGGCTTAAAACCTCCCCTCCCCGACAGCCAGCAGAGAGAGAGGAGTGACCAGAGCCGGCAGCATGGGAGGCAGGGGCACGCTGGCTGCGCTCACGGGAAGCAGGTGATGGCCATGCACAGCACCGCTGGCTCTGGCGGCTGGACGGTGGGTGCGGGAGGGCTGGTGAGTATTGCACTGCGGCTGCGAGGAACCTGCCCTGCTCGTGGTGGAAGGATGGCTGGACGGCAGCGTGCGGCACTCAGGCAGTGCAAGCCGACGAACACACGTGCCAAGATTCATCGCAGGAGCTGTTAGTGTGAAGATCGTAACTTGTTATAAGTCTGCTAATATCCGAAATTAGTGAGGTAACACAGTGAAGATGAGTAAAAAGTCTTAAAGTGCCAATATAGGGATCATTACTGTACAGGAGCAGAAGGCCAGGCAGAGAAGTTACTGAGCAAAGAGGAATTCAGCTCCCAAGCCACCAGCTGCACTCAGACTGCCCCGATTTCTGCCACCCTTACGGGCACTGCAAGCAGCGAGGGCAGGCTGGGCTCCGGCTGCGCCAAGGTGCCACAGCCCGATGTCACTCCCCCCTTTCCAGGAGTCCGAGCTCAGAGGCTACCCTGCTGTGAGCCAGCTTCAGGAGGACAAGTACTCCAAGGCATGTTTCCCCACAGCTCCTGCTTAAGAGCAGAGTTGCAGATAGCGCAGAGCTCCCATTTTGAAACGGCTGATGTCCCAGCAAAGCCCCCAGGGCGTCCTCCCAAATCAGAGCTGCTTTATGGCAGAGAGATGAAGCAGGTCAGACAGGTGGTAGTGCAAGTATTGCTCAACACAGCCTTGGATATCAGATACTACAGGTATGATAGAGGGAGCAACGAGAAGCGAGTTATTTATCAATTTATGAGTGCAGCTGAACACCACAGGTAAAGACCACTGTGATTAAGAGATCAGCCAACACTAACCATCAATCCCGCTCCTGTCAGCCTGGAGTAAGACTTGAGTGAGAGGAAAAAAGTCCATCCCTCCCTCCTCAAACCCAAACAGCAGGAAACAAGCTCCCGCGCTGAGCTCTTCTCCAGAGCTGTGGGTCAGGCAGGATGCAGGGAGCTTTGGTCTGCCCGGTGCCACCTGCATTACTCATTTATGGAGATGCCTCTTCCCCCGAGGGATCTCGCCTCAGCTTCAGTGCAGAAGCAGTTCAGGCACACACAAATCAACAAGGGGACACCTCAAGTCACTTCAGAAAGCAGGTGTTTTCGATGGACATGGAAGTCTTTCACCAGCAGACCCAGTTCACAGGTGACAGGGGGACACAGATAGGAAAGGAAAAGGCCTTTAAATGTGCTTTAAAGATGCGCAGCCTTGCGCACAGACACACCGCTCACCTTCAGCGAAGGCAACGCCACGCTGCTTCCCAACTGTGATCTAAAAACACCATCACAAGCAACCCTGACGTTGGAAATCCCTCTGGAGAGTACCACGGGCTCACCTTGTCCGGCTGAGCTGGCCTCACTGTAAGCCACCAGAAACAACACTAACATTTAAAAGAGCCTTTCTGCCCTGTTGGTTTATACATCCCGCACTACCCCAGACAGCCCTTTCCAGGTGACAGAAAGGGGTGGCAGCAGTACTGAAGCGCAGATGCCAGACGACAGCGTCCCCCAGGAGCCTCCTTGCCTTCAGGACACAGGTTTCAGAGCAGTGCGGTTGTCACAGCAAGTTTCAGTGGGGTCTAAGCCACGCTTACGAACCCCAGTCTGTACAGTGAAACTTCCCCAGTACGGAAGGAACATCACGTTCACCTCCAGCATGGCCTCACACCATCACAATAAACAGAGGTTTAAAAAAACCTCCAAACAACACTTCAGCTAATCTTGTAAGATCTCAGCTGTTCTCACCCCATAATCAGAAAAGTGATAAAAAGAAATAAAACCAAGGCTATCTTTCCTAGTAAGAAGTACCACAGGGGCTGCTACCACCACATGACACTGGACAAAGCAAACTGGAGCCTGGACCAGTGGCCGAGGAGCAGCATCTCCTACAAGACCAGAGGGAAGCGCTGTGTCCCGGCACAAAGCTTTCAGCACTGAAAGCAACAATCTGTGAGTGTCACCACACCTTTATGGCACAGGCAGTGGCGCAGAAGCTTTGAAAGGAAAGCCCTCAGCATCCAGGCTCAGAGAGTGGCAGTTCTGCCCCGTCCAGAATAACCCAGGAGCGCCCTGGGAGAGGTAGTCGAGACACGACAAAGGCTCAGCCAGAAGCAGCATGCAGCAACGCTGACCCTGCTGTACTGCAAAGCACAGAAGTTAACTATTTGACAAAAAAAAAACAAACCAAAAACTACTACGGATATGATGTAGAATCCAGTACATTCATTCCCGATCTGTCCTGAGCGCTAGTCACCCACCAGCCAGGCAGCCTGATCTACCAGCCTGCTGTCTCACAGCGTGGCTTCAGCTGAATTGCACTGTTTGTTTCCCCATCACAAAAAGCACCTAAAAATGGGGGTTCCCCCCACTCTGTTCAGTTCCCCTCTCTACCTAAAAGGCCACCCTCGACCTCACATGCTTTGAGGATTCCCGGTCTCCCTCCCACCCTTCTCGGAGGTTGCCCAGCAAACAGGACGTGACAAATTATCAAGGCACAGCACTCTACATTCACAGCAGCGGGTACCTCAGTGCTCACCAGCGTTAAGGAGTCCTTCCACATTCCAGGTTTTAACACAGCTGAGACAAACTGACAAACACTTTCTGGAGAGAAGCATATGTGCCTCCACTGCTCTCCCACCCACTCAGGGACAACCTGTCCTGGGGAACACCAGGAAACTGAGAAAAACGCGGGAAGGGAAACCATCCGCTACCGCTGCACACAGACGGGTAACTGCAAGCTGCCACCCTGTCAGGGAGCTTCCAAGCTACACTCACACGAGATACTGGTGGATTAAAAAACTTCACGTGGCCTTTACATCTCCTCTCTGGTCTCTGCCCTGGCACCACAGAAGGGACCAACAGCATTTAGGGCTCTGGCAGAAGCATGCGGAGCACTGCATTATTTTGGGGGCTGCACACTACTAAGTATTGATCCCCAATACAGCCCACCTCTCTCTCCACGCCATTATCCCCCCGGGATGCTGCCATGATATGCTTTAAAAGTTAATAGTGCCCCTTGTAACATTTAAAAACAGAGTGCCTGGTGCTTCATGTGATGGAACATGATCCTGGCTAGAGGGAACCACAGAGAAATCTGGTCCCTCAGACACCGATTTCTGTGGAGCAGAGACGTTTGCAAACACATCAGCTTCGTCACCCCTTCCTGACGTATGAGAGCTACTGCAGACAGCGTCAATGTCAAGCACGGATGATCTTTGTCAGACTCTGAGTACGCAGGCAGATAGCCCACACACGAGGCTAGATTTTGTACAAAAAGCTGGGAACATAGTCAAATCTGAGCAGAGGGTTCACCCCCTGGCCGGGTTCCTGAATGTACTGCAGCTTTAGCAGCTCAGCTAAATACTGTACAATTTTGATATCTTCATTGGCAAGGCCCAGTTGAAGCTTCAGAAAGTTCATCCTGCGATTCACAACGGATTCCTCCGGTTCCCTTTCACTGATGGGAAGGTGCAAATGATGGCAGAAGGTAAAGAGGAAGGCTTTTGAACACAGCTGGGTGAGGATACTTTGGACGTGCATATAGTAGGTGCTTCCTCGTTTGATCTGCGTGCGGTGGTCTGCCAGCCGGGACACCAAGGTGCCTTTGTAGAGCGGGCAGCGGAGAGTCTTACTGTCAGCGTCCAGAATGCTGACGTACCGGCTGTATCGGCTCAGAGCGTGCAGCACATTCACCCCGGCAGGTGATACCATCCTGAAACAGCAAGAAGAGAGGTCACGGCTGGAGAAGACCAGTTAAGCAGCAGACTGTGTCTGTGCCCCTGCATCACACATATTTTCCCTCTAGCTCATGAGCTGAATGGCCAAATAGTCTCTCCAGCCTGCCAGATCCCAAAGAAACCTCAGTCCCCTGGATCCCCACGTGCACTGATCCACGCTGTGTGCCTGCTACTTCATAAACCACTGCGCTTCAGGGCCTTGGCGACATGGAGAGGGAGTGATAAAACATCTCTGGTGAACAGAAGCAAATCTTGCAGCAGCTGGTAGCTTCTAGATGTGACAACAGGGACCCAGAAACCCAAACCAGATCCCCCTTGTCAAGATCTCCACTTTCCCCCCACACGGTTGTTTGGAAGGGAGCTGTTCTGAGGTGGTTGAAGCCCTGAGTGGAGCGAAACCTTCTGCCCTTCCTTTAAAAAAGAGAGCCATCCTTAAACCAGAATATTCCCTGTCTGAGCCTGGGCATTTTTTACTCAGGTGCAAACCCACAGCACGTTCATAACTTACAATTATCCAACAAGCCTAAATTAATGTTATTTAAATGCAAATTACAAGCCTACGCAAACTCTACCTTCTGCTCCTCAGTTCTGCGTGGTTAAAGTTGCACAGTTGAGATCCAGCTCCCAGCCTCAAACCAGGAACCCCAGCTGCTGTGTAAGGGCTGCCCTGTGTCCAGGCAGCGTCTGGCCTTAGGAGATGTAGCACCCATACCAGAATAATTAATTTAGCCTCTAAGTTCCTCCCCAAAGCCTTTGTACAAAAGGTTTGCTGAGAGCACCCATGTTAAACTCAACACTTAATTAACATTCCACAGAGGAGAGTATAAATGACTGACACATGTTACAAGCAGTTCTTTGGAAAAAAAAAAAATTTTTTTTGTTTATAAAAAATTGCGTCTAACCACCAACACTGAGCAACAAGTAGACACTCAGGGCTTTTAAAAACCTCACCAACAGAGAAGTTTGGGAGCAGCTGTTGGCAGAGTTGTCATCCTGCCTCACGAGCACAGAAATGAGGGTAAACTTGCATCTTAGGATAATTTCATTATCCACAAGCCCCAGCAACGCAATACTCAGCAGTCCAGAGAGCAGATTTCTGTATTTTCCTGCTGCTCAGAACCATTCTTTCAGGAGCTATTCCATGCCAGCTCTGAGCAATGGGCTGCCACTCTGACTCACGTTTTCCACGTTGGTGACAGCAATGGCCATTCCCTGTCATACCTGCACCCGAAGCGCCAAACACATCCTGGTAACACACAAAGAAAATCCTTTACACAACAGCAAAAGGCAGGGACAAAATCTTGAGAGCTGAGCAATTGCTGTTTGTTAATATTAACTATGAAGCCACATTTCAGGACCGGGGGCTGGGGAAGGGGTGCTTGCTTTCGCGATGGTCCTCACCCTGAGCAGAAGTTTCCTTTGCATCTGAACAATCCCGACACCGCAGCCTGCTGAGCTCTGTGGACTCTTCTTCCTGCACTAAGGCTTGCTATAAATCTCTGTCCATCTGCACTCCCTCAAAGACAGCCCAACAGCTCCGCAGGCTCCACGCCTCCACCCTTCCCCACAATATCCGGGTGGGTACACCTTCACCAACGCAGCCCAAAGTGCTGGCACTCCAATTTCTGACCTACCGGTCTCATTGACAGCACATCATCTCTTCATTAGGGTCCACAAGGAAAAACCCTCCCCATACCAAAGCATCCATTTAAAAAACAAAACTCTAGCTAGAGATGTCAGAACAGTTTTGGGAGGAGACAGGGGAAAGAACACGAGGAAATCCAGGAGCACTCTTATCTGATCATCCAGGAAACCAGCGGAACTAATGTGTGTGTTCTCTGCTTTGCCAGGCTAAGACCTAAACCAGAAGGAAACCTTCTGGCCAAATAACTAGTACAAGCCAGGCAGCAAGCACCCAGCAGATGTTTTAAATATTAACTCTCAAATGAGGCTGGATATAAAGAGACAGACAAATCTATCCCCCTTCAAAATATATCCCATAAGCAGAAATTCATGGCAGCTGCGTAGGTAATTAGACAGAGACCTCCCCTGCGCACCCATTCCCCTCCAAAATTCTCGCTTACAAGAAGTTGTTTTTAATCACACACCTAGACACCGATAGAGCAACCGGACCCTCAATTTACCTCTGCAGTCCGATCAGCTTCCACTTCTGGAAATCCACAACGTGCAGAGGGGAAGTCACCCAGTGCTTCACGGGCTTGGCGTAAACGCCACAGTTTGGCACGAAGATGGAGAGCGCCGTCACAAGCTTCTTCACTATCGCTTCCTCTTCCCCCAGCACGATCAGGGTTCTCCCACTGAGCAGGGAGTAGATGGCGGGGTGAGCGAAGGGGTACTGCCTGATGAAGCGCAGCGCGTTCTGGCCAGCCTTTTTTTTGTGCTTTTCACTCGCCGGACAGGCGAGGTGAGCAGGAGAAGGGGTCCTGTCGGAGCACGTGGAGGCGGCGCTGCTGATATAGCTTGTGGAGTCCGAGCACTCATCCAGGCTGCTCTTACTGACCTCCCTGCTGCCTGTCAGGTAGCGCGAGTCAAGCTCGTAGGGAAGGAGCCCCCCTGAGATGCCATCATGGCTGGGGACACCCCCAGAGCTTCCACGCAGCCCCTGCTCGGCCGCCTGCCGGTACGGCTGCGGGGGGATCCTGACCACCCCATCCTCGTCGCAGGGCTTCTGTCCCAGGTCAGGCAGAGGCTCGAGGAAGTTGGGACTCTCCTTCCCAATACAACAGGCAGAGTCAACCTGTACTAAGTTTTCCTGGTTTGAAACATCATCCTGCTCATCGGCGTTGTCTGGGTTTAGTTTGGGGATGAAACGAAGGCCTCCCTCTTCATCATCTGCATAAGGTTCCTCGTTAATGGCACTTGGGTAGCTCGCTTTGAAATCTTCCGGGATGAGCGACTCGGAGGGACATGTGCTGAGAACCTCGATGCTGTCCTCACTGACGGTCCGTCGGCTGCCCACCTTGCTCCTGCCCACCTGGGGGCTGGGGCTGATGGGTAGGCTGGCCTGGCTCTCCGATTTTGTCAAGCCAGATGCAGACTTCTCCGTTCCAAGAACCTCGATGCTCTCACCACTACTGATGCTGCCTTTGATATCTGCATCAAGATAGTCCAGGTTCTCCTGGTGTTCGAACGTGATGGACTCGGTCATTTTGGGTTCTCGGGAGTCTTCGATTTCCTGCTCCATTTTGATGGGCACACACTCCACGCTGGACTTGTAGGATCCCAGGCTGATGACCACTTTAGGAGCAGGGGACTCTTCCAAACACTTTCCATCAACGGCATCTTGACTGAGCCCCTGGCAGCCTCTGTATTGTTTTTCAGGTGGTTTTTCATCCAGAAAAGATACATCCTCAAAGAGGAAGTTAGTTACGCTTTGCTGCTTTAAGAGCGCCCTGCTGATCTGGTCTGTCAGGAGGTAGCACACGTCACCTCTGAAAGTCCTCTCAATCTGATGCAACTGGTCAAGGGTTTGAGTGAAAAAATAAATATCGCAGAGTTCTTCCAGTGTCTTCAGCTTCTTGTCAAAGCACTTGGCAGACTTTGCTTTGATAAGCTTGGGGGTATAGGACGGCACGTGGGCGTAAACGTGCGTTTCGCCAGGCTCGGAGGTAGTCAGGTCCTGATCGCAGCCCACGTTGGCCTGATCCAGCGCACACTCTGGCTCGTAGGGGTGGAAGTCAGATTCCTTTAACTTCCTGTAGGGATATGACCTGATCTGTTTCAGCAGATCTTGGTGCTCAATGATAGACTTCTCCACACTGGCCAGCTCATTGGCCTTCTCGATGGCTTGGGTTGTGTAATACCCTTTGTCATTGGCTTTCTTCTGTATCTCGGTTTCATTGTGCAGGACAGTCCTAGTGTAGTCGAGATCTTTCAGTTTCTTTTCCAGCTCATTAGCAAAAGCTTTCCTGTTCCCCGTCTTTAGGCATTCAGAGGCTTTGGAGAACTCGGCGGAGAGTTCCTGAAACTGCTGCATGATTTTGTGCTCGTCAGCAGAAATATAGGCCATGCAGAAGGGCCTCACGAAACCCCTGGCTTCGAGGTCATACAAAGTCAAGTGGTGGACGTACGCGAAGGCGCCTTCCTTCGAGTCCCCCAGCACCACTTTGGAATCCTCCACGAAGTTCAGCTTTGGGTAGGCAGAGCCCGGAGGGTGCCCCACGAAGGAAGCCTGGTAATCCACAGACATGATCCGAAGGGAAAAATAATTAAGATCGAAAGTGCCTGACACCTTGGCGTCATCGGGGATGGTCAGGAGGGGCTGGGGCCCCACTTGCTCCGAGAACTCGGAGATGAGGATGAAGTCCCGGGTGAACTTGGAGCTGGCGACCTTGGCCCAGGGGTTTTTTGAAGGTGAAGAGCGGCACCGAGTACTCCTCGGGCAGGGGCGGCTCGCTGCACAGCTCATCCTCCAGCTCCTCCTCTCTGGTGAAGGCCACCACGTCAGGGGCGCTGATCATATTTCCCACAGGAGGGGACCGACATGGAGCAGCGAGG